ACCTTTTATTTAAAATAACTAATCATTAATCAATTTTTATTAAAATAATTAATAACTCTTTTAAATAATCTTTTTATTTATTTAAAATAATTAATAATCTTTTTTAAATAATTAATCCAACCTTTAATTAACTTACCTTTTATTTTTTGGCGTTATTTAAATAATCTTTTTTTACTAATTTAATTAATTATTTTTTATTCCAACTTAATAACCCCTCATTAAAACTTAATTTTAATTTAATTCTAATAACTCATTTCATAATAATCTATCTAATTTGTTTTTACTTACTAATAATAATAACCAAAACTTTTTATTCAACATTAGAAACCTATACCTTTTTTATTTAATAAATCTACCTAATAAATAATAAAGAGAACTTTTTCTAATCACTACTTATTTAAAAATATTTCTATCTAAACTTAATTTATCCCATATTTTAATTCCACTAAAAATAAATAAATAAGGTTAATTCAACTTCTTCTTAAAATCAACATTCCTCTTAAAATCAATCCGACTAAAATTAATCAACATCGTAACTCAATCAATCGTGCACGCTTCCGCCTCCGCTCCGATTCGTTCACGTGTTCACTTACACTTTCACACACTCGTGCACCTTAGCGCTTTCATGCATTTGTGTATGGATTTATTTATTTGTTTTATTTTATTGTCATTTATTTTATTGCATAAGCGTCCAAAGGAAGAACCTGCGCATAACTTAAACAATTGTGCGTATGCACCTCATTTGCATCATACCCCCTATTGATCCTTGATCCCATTCAAGTCGATCTTCCAAGTTTAGATCCTACCCATAAGAAGGACCTTTTCTTTTATCTTTACAACTTAGAATAAACCATTCAACTCAATATCAAACTTTTCAAACATATTAGAGAATAAGACGTTAATCATCTTAAGTGAGATAAAACTCCTACCCCATAACAATTCAATTAATATGTAGGGACTTTGACTTAGGAGAGATAGAGGCGTACTTGTTGACAATCTGAGTACTTGAGCCCTTCTCTTAAGACGATGCAAAGACTATTTTCCTACAAAGTTGTGGTGGTTAAATCGAGTAATCTCCCTTAAAATGACAACTCGTCTTTTCTCCTAAAATCAATCAATCAACTACCTTTATCCCGTAGGAACTTTGACCATAGTCAAAGAACTCCTCAAACCCTTTAGGGGAACTACAGATACTCTGATTCCACTCCCGTAAGGATATGTAGGCACAAAATGCGATATCTTGTCGAGTATACTTAGAAAATAAACCCCTAGGTTCTTTTACCCTTAAGCAGATAAACCTTAGCAATAAAACAAACATAAAACAAGAGGTTCCTGTAGAGTACTACAGAAACTTAGGATGCTAGCACCTTTCCTAAGTTTAACCAACCCCCGAACCTAAAACTTTAACCTTTGCATGTGCATTGCATTGTGGGTATTTCAAGCTCATCAATAGCTTGGTATCCAAATTTCACCGCGACACATACAAATAGAATTAAGTTGATTAGGCTTAATATATTAATATAACACCCATGACAATAATGAAAACACACATATGGGGCAGAAAGAAATACTCATAATATTTCATGGCTAGGTCGAGGATACGACCTGCTCTAATACCAATTGTAACACCCACATATAATACATATCTAGAATATACATATTACACACAGTTATAAAGTTGGTACTGAAATATGTAAGTGCCACTAGGCAACATTGTACATATTACATGTCCAAAACAATACTACAACAATGACATAATATATACAAGGGTGCCCAAAATATAAAAACTAGGAACTAGATCATGGTAAGATGATCTCAAAAATAACTGCATAGCGGATACATCATCCAAAATAAAAAAGGAAATAAGGACATCGTGCTAGTTTGTCTCCACCCTTCGTTTGATCATAACCACTTGAAAATAATCAATAAATATTGGATGAGATAATAATCCCAGTGGATTCCCTATCTTATGGGTTCACTCGACTCTACAAGGTTCTAAATATCATCCTAACTTGAGTCATAAGAAACTTCATCAACTCAAACAATCACTAATCAGAAACCATATCAAGGCATCTTTTCCCGGCCGACCCTATGCCTTGAGTTATTGACACAGGTCACGGATCCTTGTACCATACTTTGACTTTCTTGAACACTTCAAGTTCTTCTATGAGGCTCTAACATATTTGGCCGCACTATGGGACTCAAACTCATTTGGTTGAACATATGGGACTCAAACCCATTTGGTTAATGTGAAGTATCGGCGCATTCATCCCAATCTTACTCTATATAAGTATCGTGACTTGGGACGACAGAATCAAGGGTTTGTTTCCGACTACGTGATTAAATAAGGGATATCGTGATCGTATTCGACAACCACAAGGCGACCACATCACCTTAGTATTCACAACAACATCATATGTTCCATACAATGCCTAACATCTTAGCTAGACAACCACTTGCTCATGACACACACCTATGTATCATATGCACAAGCATTTACATTTATGTCATCCATCATATCCTAATCATCTTGCTAATTTATTCCATTAATTACTATTAAGATTTCCTCACCAATCCTTATAAATTTTCCAATCATGTTATAATTTAATCACAAACAACAATTCATAGATGGAAAACATGCATAATACCCGCAAGCCATAATAATTGAGATATGGTAACTTATAACAAGGATAGAACATGCATGTGAAATACCTTAAACAAAATAGGAATAATAATGAATTTATGAGAAGATCTTTTAGAAAATGACAGTTTGCATTAAAGTGGTAATGATGACGCTGACATCAGCGAAAGAGTTTGAACAGTGTCGAAAATAATTTCAAAAATGCCACCTTTCTCCTTTCTGATTAAAAGGAAAGTCGAAAAATGACATTTTGGAGGGCAATTTGTTACCTCATATTTTCGACACAAACATTGATAATAAGGATGTGATACGTTTCTCATGTGAAAATGGGTTTATTTCCAGAAATCGAAGTGGTCATTTATGACCATGGACATCTCGACGAATTTGATTTGTCAAGAAGTGGTATCAACTTTGGTTGAATTTGCAATCAGTCGGAGATTAGGGATTTCATTAGTTTTGGGACTTAGTGAAATTCAAAGTACCTAGAATGTTTCTTCTTCACGCGGTCGAATGAGGTTTAAGTGGATAAGATCAGACAGTTATTTGAGAACACGTGAGAGCTTGTCGAAGACGAAGGCTGCATGGAGACGAAGACATGGCATAATTTGCTTAGTCGACTGTTGCAAACAGTTAAGTTATGACTACTATATAAGTAGTGTTCACTTATAGTTTTAGGGGCCCGTAATTGTGCACAAATTCTGTAAACTAAAAGTATATGCGTGTTTGTGAGAAAAGAGTCATAAGAATGTACATATATGCATTCTATTTTACAAATTAAAGTCTTTACTTTCAAGTCATTAATTGCATTGAATTTAATTTCAGTCATTCTTTTAAGTTTCCTTCAATTTCGACTTTGATGTCAAATCTATTTAAAACTTATGTTTTTCACACAATATGTCTTGGGATCTTTTCGAGTTTAATCCCTTAAGTGAAATAAAACTTGTTTTGTTTACCAAAATTCTCAATAAACATCGAAATACCCTTTTATCCGAACCCATTAGAAGAGCAACCCATTTTAGAGGATCACCGATCACGATACCTACAACTTCTATTGTTGTCCCCGTACTCAGAATGAATGGAGAACCCATTACTTATGCATCCACTTAGTCAAGCTTCGTTGCGTCTGGCCGACTTTGAAGATTCAAGTGAGTCTTCCCCTCAAAGATTGATGAAGCAAAATAAATGAAGAATGCATAGATTTTGACTACAGAACTGCAATTGTCCGGGTTAGCGCTCTAAAAAAGAAAGAGGCAAAAATGTTTGTCAAAAAGTGTATGTGAATGAACTTGAATACCAAAGATTGCAAAAAGTTTTTGAAACGCTCGACTCTTCCTATTTATAAGTGAAGACTATTGGACAATCCCGATCAACTAAAGAAAGGAGTTGTGAAATCAACAACTAGATTCCTCCTTGGAGATACAAGCAAAAACTTGAGTGCACTCAAGTGCAATATAAGCTACAACATGTCTTAACTTGTCACCTAAACACGTGTGAAAATAAGGCGACAAAACATCATAATGATAAAAACGCATTTAATGTGTTTGTTTCCCACTACTTTTTCAATTGACTCCAAACGTTTCAAGTCCAACTCACCTTGGACGACACCTTGGAAGCCGACCAAAATTGCTAAAGGCTTCCTCGGTTGACTCAGTGTCTGACAAAGCCTTAGGGGTAATTATTCTAGGCCGATCAAAGACTAAGTCATCTCAAATCCCCTTCACTTGATCCAAAGTATAAAGTCAATACTCCAAAAAAAAAAAATACATAGCACCACAAATTCAAAACATTTAGTTTATCAACTACATTCATTTCTAATTTATGAAAAAAAAAATAGCAATGACTCAGGGTTAGTAAAACACTTTAAAATAAAGTTTTAAAAGGAGTAAAATTTTAGGAGTTAAAAGACTTTTCAAAATATTTATTAAAAAAAACAAATTTTCAAAGGAAATAGACATATAACGAGTATATCAGAGATTTTGAGGACTAGACATGTAATGAGTATATTAGAGATTTGTTTTTCTTTTTCTAATTTATCTCGTGAGACTGTGAGACTGCATCTTAGTAACTATTAACACATGCATACATTAAGATAACGCCTCTAAAGGAAAAAAAAAGAAAAAGAAAGAGCAGATATTAATATAATAGTGCAATACCATAAGTAAATAAATGGTCTCAAATACCATTATCAGTTATAAATTATCAACTTGCTTTGATTCATATTATTACCTAATTAACCTATATTCTATTTTCTTCAGATGTAACCTAATGTCCTAACAATCCTAATGAATGTCTGCTACTGACTGGATCTTTCTTCCATTATAAATAAATCTTTAAGAATAAAAACACAAACTCAATATAATCAATTGCCAGAGACCGTATCTCCATTAAAATGTTGTTTGTTCATCTCTTCGCTCTTTGCCAGAATGTCGTCTCGATTTGGCGCAAACATCCCAGCCGGTATGTCTCCGGTTGGCGCCAACGTCCCATCGCTTTTTGCCGATATGTCTCTGGTTGGTGCAAACGTCCCATTGCTCATGTCTCCAGTTACCGCAAACATTCCATCGCTCTTTGCCGGTAAGTCTCCATTTGCTGGTAAGTCTCCGTTTGGCGCAAACGACACTTCTGTAACATTCCCAAGCTTGACCTCTTTGGAATGAAATTCTGTTGATTTCCCATTATCCAAAACCTCTTGATTATTCAAAGCAAAAGACCCATCTTGATTATTCAAAGCAAAAGACCCATCTCCAGCTAACGCCTCTTTCTCATGATGGTTAGATGATACTCCATTCTCAGAATTCTTCACACCTTCTGAAGGGACTCCATTCTCATAATTCTTCAGAGCTTCTGAAGGGACTCCATTCTCATAATTCTTCACAGCTTCTGAAGGGAACATTGACTCATCATTAGCATTTGCAAGTGATTCTATCCCGTGATTGATATTTGCTCCATCGCCAGCATTGTCAGTCTGAACATTAGGCTTCTTGTTTCTAGAAGGTTTCCTCTTGGGAAATTTCCTTTTAAAGCGTGCTTTCTTAGGCTTTGGAGCTTTCGAAGCCTCATCTGCAACAGAATCTGCTGCCCTTTTTCTGGATGGAATGACAGTCAAATGGCCAAACTGGTTTTCAGAAGCCTGAGATGCATTTGTCTGGATAGCTAATAAAGCAGTTCTTGCAGCTTTTATCTCAGCTTCCTTCTTTGTTCTTGTTGTTCCCCCAATATAGAGAATCCCTCCAATGTCAACCGTACATGAAAATAACGGTGCTCTACCTGGTGGTGTATCATCTTTTTTGCATTGATACATTGGCATTGCATAGTTCATTTTCTGAGCATACTCCTGAAGTAGATTCTTGCATAATCCAGTTTCATGCTGGAAGAAACATCATTAAAATGATCAGAGGCAGCAAACATAAAATAATCTGAGCAGCTAGAATATATTACAATACAGAACATAGGATGGAGAACATCTCAGATAAATATGCAACACTATATTTCTTCTAATCATCAAAATGGACAACAACAGAGTGGATGTGTGAGAAATAATCGACAATGGTCATTACACTCGGAACTTTCTATTACTTCCGACAAGAAAATTTATAAATTTGTAAAGACTTTTGCAAAGAGTACTTACAACAGGTTGAGTGATGGACTGATTAACTTCACCAGATTTAGCCAACTCCATCAAAGCAACCTCTGCAGCCGACTGCTCTGCTGCTTTACGGTTAAAAAATCCAGGCAAAGAATCATACCGAACATCATTCACAACCACTGTTGACCTGAAACAAGGTTCATGGGAAGGCCCATCCTTGGTAGTTTCATACACAGGTGTGGGGAGTCCCGCTTTTTGAGCATACTCCTGCAACCGGCTCTTGAACACATAACAATTTGAAACACCTAACGCATATAAGAAAGAAAGTAAATATGAAATGAATTGAATGACATAGAAATCCCCTGATTTTGGTCTAGTTTGCTTTCTTTTTAAGGTTAAGTCTATGTTTCATTTCTCTGCTAACAAGTGTTTCATAAAGTTGATTTTTGCTAAAGGAACAATAATTGATCCCGATCAAACTCCTGATAACCAATGTCTCATCACCCACCCCTTCCAAAAATATTCTCCCACAAAAAGTGAGAGATTCATTCCTCTATTAAGGGTTTCTGTCCTAGGGTTCCTAATTTGTAATACTACAAGTATTACAATGTGTTATCTCATTTTCAATTTTAAATTAGTACTATTTTAATCAAGGCAGTAGTAGTTTTCGCAAGTTCGGTCTATCGATACAGGTGTCGTGTCACCGGTCGCGGTCGTCGTGATATGAATTAACCTTAATATCAAAAACAGTGATATCAGTATCTGCCGATACCGATTTGTCGCGGCCGTTTTCGCGGTCCGGTTAAAAACCCTGTTTGTATCTACCTATTGAAATTATAAACTTTTTTTTCTTCATTTACTCGCCCATCGGAAACACCCAAAGATCAAATTTCAATTCTGAACCTAAAAAATAAAATTATCGATAACGAAAGAAGAATAATGAGATAATGATGCTGAAAAAAAAACAGAAAAATGTGTTTATTCTCCTTCGCGTTGCAAAATGAAACCCTCGAAAAAGAAGAATAGTACTAGTACCTTGGAATTCTTCGTTGGCGGTGGACATGGTGAGAGTTGAGGGAAGAGACTGTGGTAACTACTTTGATGGAAGTTTGTTACGAGTATTAAAGTGAGAAGAGGAGAGAAAGGTGTGTGTGTGAGTGACTCAAGATGAAAAAAGTGTGAGTGTCTACGGTGAAGATGAAATCGGAATCTGCGCAGGAGAGAAACTAGGGACAATAAAATCCATTAAAACAATTTTCATCTGATCCATCCTATCAATCCATCAAATAAAAATTGACAATTTCTTTTTTCACCCTTGTGTTGTGGTGGTGTGGCTATCCCTCAAGAAAATCTAAAAATGTTTTTGGAAATTTTTGAATGATAGGAATCCACTCTATTTCTTTGTGTCTCCATTTTTTGTATTACTATAGTTTTTATGTATATAAAATTAACTAAATATTAATTATATGTTACATGTCTTATAAATGTGTGTTATCACATGTCTTAGAAATGTGTGTTATTTACACACAAAACTATAGTAATGAGAAAAATAGAGGGACAAAGAAATGGAGTGGATCCCATAACACTTCAAAAACACTTCAAATTTTGTCATCATTAGTAAATCAAATAACTATCTTATTTTTGTTAAAAACTAGTTTGGCGATACATGTTCGAAAATTTCTAAGGTAAATTCAAAGATGTATTTTCGAAAACACTTTTAGAGTTATTTTCACAATGTTTTTTCATTAAAATTGACGTTGTTTTTAGGGACTTTGTCAATTTTAACAAATATTAGAGTCATAGGAATTGTATTCTCACATTCTTGCCCTTACGTTCTTGCGTTTCTGGTCTTTATGTGACCTACCGTAAAAAAAACAAATTTGAATCAAAATTTTATCATGTCATTTGATCATAAAAATATGAGGATCAAGACTAAATACGGGACATAAGGGACTAATTATGGGACATCATCCTAAAAATCATACATTCCTTATTTTTCTATTTTATTTGATTTATTTTTTGTTTTTATTTTTATGTTTTTCAATTGTTTTTCTCAATAGGAACATTGTTGGTATTTACATATTTGTTACATTGCTAATGCATGACTACTAGGTCTGCCTATTCGGATACATCCCATACTAAATTAAAAAAGAACATAACATGACACTTTATGGATATGCATACATGAAAACACTATTTTCTTACAAAAATATGGTATATCCAGAGATGCATCTCCAAAATTAAGTATAATGGGTGGCTCACTTGTTTCTGTTCAATTTTGTAAAAAATTATGTTTAAAGATGCATCTTCGAAAATTGGGGACATTTTTTACTTTTTGCTAAGGGTTTAGAAAAAACTATAAGGGTGGGAAAGAAATTGCCTACAAATTTATATAGGACATAACTTTTCCCACACTTGTGCTTAGATACCTTGTGAAAAACTAAAACTACCCTTAAAATTCATAAGTGGACTTTCGAACACACATCAGTCCACACCCAATTCATTCGTAAGTAAGACATATACTTATTTTTGACAAAAAATAATACAAAAAATACATCATCGTAATAACTTCTCGAAATATACCTCCGGACGAGATTTTAATCAAATATGCATCAGAACTTCCTCCTTCCTCATTTGCAGCAAAAACACTTTAAATCACTTATAAACCTTCTAAATTTTGTAATTTGATTTTTCAGGAATACGAAACTGCACTTCCAAATTTTGTTCGTCTGCATTGTTTGATTTATTTTTAAATGTCTTTCATCTGGCTTTGATTTTTTTTTGCTTTGTCTGGTTTTATTATAGGTAACATGACTGACAATCTAAAATAATCGAGACACGATAGAGTGTGTTTGACAAGTGACTTCAAACACAAGAGAGGGAGGGGGATTGTGGTATTTAAAATTCGTAATTAAATTTAAGGTTTTGTTACATAAAAAGCGAATTGTGTTAGTTTTCTTAAGATCAGAGTAAAACAAACAGCAGAAAATAAAAGTCATGAAGTAAATAGCAGAAATTAAGAGACAATAGTTTAGAGAGAAGACACCAGTGGTTTATCCAGGTTCGGCCGAACGTTGGCCTACTCTTATCCCTAAGATATTTTCTTGAGATTTTGACTATAAACTTGAGTTTTTACAGGTTATGCCCACAAAACTTCAATACATGCAGATTTAGAGATTTTATAATGGCTTATCCCAACCAAAAAGAAAACTTTTATCCTAGACGAGCTAACAAACCAATTAGAGATTTTTCGGGCTATCTCAATAGCCAAGCATAAGTTTTCTAGACTATGTTCTGTAACCAAACACAGATTTTAAGACTAGTTAATCTCAAAAACAAAACTCGATTTTCCAAGTAGTTTTCACAATGGCAAGACGCCAATACAAATTCTTTTTCACAAGTAGTTTTCACTCACAAGGCAATAAGACAACTTAGGTAAAAAGAAAATATTTAAGAGAAAGAAAGAAGATAGATAAATTCCAAAGAAATGGAGAAATTGGAATTTCGAGTGTGAAATGAAGATGAGAGGTGTCTCTTTTATATAGGAGAAGAATATGCTAAAAAAAGGAAATGATCTATGAGCAACATTAATGGTTCAATTGTTTGGGTTCTTATTCTAATAAATCAAATGTCCTAAATAATCGAATATTTTTGTCCATTTTTGGAAAGTTTGGATAAAAGTTGTTACCAATCATTAAGACACCATCATCATAATCAATTGTTCATCTTCAAATCGATTTTATTTGGGCTCCAATAGATTTGATAGTTCAAAAAATGCTTCAAATGAAGGTGACAGTTTCCTAATCAACTCACTCAGGCTTGAAAACATTTTTAGGATTTGTTATAGTTAAAAAAGGGTTTCAAAAGAGCTTTTAAGTGTGTGTGTAAGAGAGAGAGAGAGAGAGAGAGAGAGAGAGAGAGAGAGAGAGAGAGAGAGAGAGAGAGAGAGAGAGAGAGAGAGAGAGAGAGAGAGAGAGAGAGAGAGAGAGAGAGAGAGAGAGAGAGAGAGAGAGAGAGAGAGAGAGAGAGAGAGTTGTCTTAGTATCTTAGGATTTATTCTCACACTTTCACAAAACTCTAGTCACATAGACAGACACAAACATCTAAGTTTTCACACTTCCTCTCTTTCACAACTCCGAGGCTTGCAAGATCTTTTTCCAGATACATCAATCATACAAGAACTTCAATGGGATCTTGAGTCTCCTACTTGATGATGCTTGGTATGTTTTTAAGTTAATCACCATCATCAGAGAGTTGGAAATTTATTACCACCGACTTCAATAATCATTAGTGTCATCATCAAAACACTTGAAAATATTGTCAGTAGGATAATCAACTTCTTACCTGCAAGCACATAGATCCATAGAGTGTCCCAACATGCATCTGTTCATACGGAAAAAGCCTTGCCCTCGCGACCATCGGTCGTTGCCAATTTATTTGATGTGAAAGCGCCAAATTTTGGGGTTCAAGCCTCTCCGGTTTTGTCTTCCTAGAGGCAGGTGTCACTTGATGCTTCCCTAGAAGCACCACTAGTCTAGGTCGATGCACCAGTTATCAATGCTTCTATTCCTGAGAAATTTGGAGGAGGTCCATATGACACATTATTGTTGCCTTTATATGTCGACCATGCTGCTAGGCACGTGTGAGACGAATAGGTAAAATTTATTTGTATCTATTCTTTAAAACACATGTGTTATAATATTCGAGCCATCTGATGATTATGTATTTTTTGCAATACAACGATTCTTTAAAATTCATCAACCACGGTAGGAATATTTCAAGGCAATAACAAACTGAGGAGCAGTGGTTTCATGATGCCATATAACTATCTAGGCTGTAAGATTTATGCTTGACCGATTATATTATTATTAACCATGGTGTTGTGATCGTTCTTTGAGAGATGTCACTCTGAGATGTCATCTTTTCATCTTCTGTATGGTGAGATATCCATCACAGTGAAAGACATGTCATGCCTACTACATCTTCCAATCAAGGGGAAAATTATTCGACCACTTCAGAATCACCATACTTAATGCACTAGAGATGACGGGGAACTATTTAGAAGTTGGCCCAGAGAATGCCTTAAAAGAGATATAGAAGACACCATAGGTTTGTTGGACTTGAGACTTCACATACAAGAGGGGGTGAATTGTATGATTTTGAAAAACTTTGGGAGATAGAAACAGAGTTTAAAAATATTTTAAGAACTTAGCAGTTCAAAGTAAACTGTAGAAAATAAATTTCAGAAATAAAAGGAGTTAAGGGAAAGAAGAACACCAAGAGTTATAGAAGTTTTGTAAAAAAAAGAACTTACTCCTCTCCCCAAGAATTGATCTTGAGAGTTTCCATTAATCATTTATAGCTTTTAGTAGGAAAGTTTCACGAACCCCCTTATATAAGGAATATTGGTTCATATTCAACCAAGAGATACATGACCATAAATATGGGCGTTTGTGTCTTTTGTTCAGAATGAACTTGAGAATGAAGGAGCTAATATTCCTTCCCGAACGGTGTATTAAAGTAATTAGTCTTCTTTCCATAAATATGGACCTTGGAGTGGTTAGTCTTCAATATCTTGGTTTTATATGGGATAACCAAAAACCTGTGAGATTTTAACATCAGACTGATCTCGAACCTGTCAAGCTCTTAAGTACCAGTCTGAGTTCTAACCTATCTTAGTTTTATAATCGAGATGACCAAGAACCTATGAGATTCTATTATAGGCTGATATCCAACCTAAACTAGGATTGAAATACCCAATCCCAAACAAAAGCTTTTTACAGGTTTAGCTTTAATCCAAACAAATCCCTAATTGGACAATATTCAACCATGGTATACTGAAAAAGGTTCCCTTGGTGAATTTGCCAATTCTACCCATTCCAGAATTACAAAAATAATCTCACTCACAAAAGGACTTTTCTTACAAAAGCACTTAGGCTAAAAACACAATGAGATAAAGTTAACGAAATTTTAGAGAGAGAGAGAGAGAGAGAGAGAGAGAGAGAGAGAGAGAGAGAGAGAGAGAGAGAAAGAGATGAAAGTGTCAAAACACGATCCTGGATG